TTTGACCTCTTTCTTTGTTTAGCTCAGGAAATATTGTTAAAACAGAAGCATCCAGCCTATCATCATTAACACATATACTCAGATGTATACAATAAAATTATCTATTTTATTGCTTATCGGTGGGAGTGATTTTATCAATAACTTCATCTATAAAGGCTGTTTCTTAGGCTTTATTCTTACCATACCATTTTATTTTCTTGCCTAACTCGAACTGAGTAGCCTTGTTAGGACAACTAGGAAGTAAGGTTTTGTCACAGTAGGTAAGGGGGGGAGTAAATTACCTAAACTCACTTAAATGCATTCTGCTTTTCTTTCAAGTTGTTTTTTGTATAGCTGTATCCTAAGATGTTCTCTAAGCATTTCAAAATACTTGGAAGTTTGTTGAATAACTTCATATGTAACACTAAAGAAAGTAAATGTAGTTTAATGGCTATATTAATAGATTAGAGCTTGCAGTATGTAAATACGGAAGTATAAATGTAGTCTTGGGCTGGAAATGGAACACTTTCCACTTCAAGTTCAATATCACAATCATATTATTACCCAATAGTAAACTACTACTTTGAAACAATGACATTTACATTTCTACAGTGAAGTTTAAGGACTACGGGTAAATATGAAAGCTTATCACACAGTAATAGCTGGAAATGACAAACCCTTTGGGTTAAGTCTCACAAAAAAAGTTGTGTTGATTAATTTACAAGGTGGAATTTAAAGATTGCATTTTTTTTATGTGTAACAAGTGCAAAAAAGATTTCTAAAGAGATGTTATATATGATTTTTCTTCTTTTCTGTTTTAAAAAGTTATATATCATTTTCTTCTTTTCTATTACAAAAATAAGTATAGATCAAAATGCCTGAGAATATTTGCAAACTAAAATCACAGAAATTACTTTAGACTTTATAGTATGAACAGCTATCTGATCATTAATACAAGTATACTCAAAGAACATAGATTCAAAAGAATTAAATCCAGACCTCCACAATCACAGGCACAACTTCATATAATTTCTTCTTTAAATATCTTTAAAGTATGGCAATTCTATATAATAAATACATGTCTTTCAGTAAAAAAAAAAAAGTAGAAATTTACTGTACAAAGCAAGTATATGGTTTTGCTAAACGATAGCAAAAAGGTTGCATTTGTTGTTTAAATTTCTTTGGAAAAAAAAAAGATCTTGTAAGTAACATAACAGATTTTAAAGCTCTCATTTCCATCCTTCTTTCTGCTCATTGTTCTTCAAATTTCTTGCTTCTTTACTCTTCTCTTTGTCTTGCACAGACCACCAGACTACACCCACAATCACATTTGGGAAACTTTCCTGACATGTGGTTTCTGCAGTTTCCCTCTGCTTTTCATCACTGGTAGAAGGTTCTGTCCTTGTGTTTAGCTGGTTTCACAGACAATTATTGAAACTTTTCTTTTACTTACTGCTGGATTGTTTATATATTATTCCATCAGTTTAATTGGACGGTACTCCTTTACAAAATGTGGAAAGTATAAGCTTGTCAGGAGAGAAATTTAACAAGTAGGTTTATAATCACCTGGAAGGAAAATATGTAGAGGTAGGAAAATATAAAATGTTCATATTAGTTCATTAAGATGGAATACAGATTATCTTATCTCTTCATGAAATGACTTTCAAGAGCATGAATGCATACACAAATCTCTGAACCATGCAGAAAATCAGAATAATTTTCATGTATAGAAGGGCCCCTTTCAAATCTTAGACACTTTACCTTAGAGTTCACCTCTTGAACAGAAGCCTTTCTCATTTATTGAGCCAATATTTAGACACAAGGTAATGCACACTTCTGTAGTAAGTTTCAAGGAATTGAAGTAAATGTAAAACATCTCATTTTCTTTCCTTCTCCTGTGTCTGCTCATTTAGCTGTCTAGCCCTCTAATACATATAGGTAAGAAATTCTGTGTGGAAATCTTTCTCTGTAACCCGTTATCTACCACCTTTGGTCAAATTTTAAAATTTCAAGACAGACATGAAAACCGATATGGAGAAATGCTGTTTTTATTCAGGTAATACATTTACATTGTGGTATGTATACACTAGCAATGATAGTGAAACTTTTATGCTAGCGTATCCATGGGAAATACGCTGTAACCCACCTTCCTTTACATGCAGCTCACATGGTAATAGAAGTGGCAGAGCACTGCCCTTCCTTCTCTGTTTCTCTGAGCTGCTTTTCTGAGTCACAAACCTTTATTGTCCTTCTTCTGCATAAACATTTAGATCCTCTTTTAATTTCTGTAAGGACCTCTGTTATTTGTTCATTCTGGTTTATTTAGGACTTCAGCACGAAGTTTGATTTTGGATACTACCCTTTTTCCACATGCTGTGGCTTCTGGTTTTGACCCTCACACTATATGACTTTAACCTCTCCCTTCCAGTCTCAAGAATTGCATTGCCTGTGGTGGAAAATGTTTTGTTCCTGATGGGCCTACCCACTGCTTTTGCTTTCTGTGAGAAGGAAACATCACAGCTAGGAGTTATGTTTGGCATTCTGTTTGGCAACAAAAAAAGATGAACTGCAGCACATGGCGACACCATGGTGTCGCCAAGAATCTCATATGACCTATATTCAGTTCCTATTTTCAATACCCTTTGTGAAGGGTACGATTTGGGCACTAATGGCATACTTTTAGTAAATAGTTCCATAAAAATTAGATGACCATCAAAAACCACCTGAAATTCTTGCCCATAGTGGTTTCTGACCTGTATCTATTTTGTCATCAATAGTTCATTTGCTTTTCTTAAGTCTTACGTTTCTGCAGAAATCCTTGTTAGCCATAATTGTCATTCACTAGTTTCTATATTCATTGAACAAAGAACTTTAAGAAAACTACTCATCTTTCCAGATCCACATCTGAAACATTGAAAATCTAACAAAAAATGTTGAGCTGGATTATAGATTGCATAAAGAAGTCCTGATAAACACAAATATCTAAGCTTAGTATAGAGGTCCACTCAACTAAAGTAACTGATGGGCCCATTCAAGTAGAAGTGGTGAATTCTTCAGATTACATTGCAATACTTGATATCCTCAGGTTAGGCATTTGAAGTTCCATCCACTCCTTTGCTAATTATTATGTTTACAATGACGTTTCTGAAAATGCTGCTGCGTTTTGCAGTGTTGTCTTTCAGGCTCTGTATAACTAGGCATCCTGAGAATCCCTTCTAGATGTTTGTTGGCAAAATGTTGCTTAGAGTTACCCACAGGTTGAATAAACGTGTAAAAAATCATTCCAAGAAGTAGATATTTTTTCTATTCTGGCATTGTTTCTGTCCACAAGGAAACTGAAAAGAGATTGTCTAAAATAATGTAATCTTACATGGTGGAACATCTTACCCAAGAAAGAGATACATTTCTTTTCAAGCATCTCAGTTTAATGGAGTGCAATGAATCTTGCTCTACAGCATTGGTCAGTGACTATGTAACTTAATCAGTTAAGAATTTGTGCTTAAACAAAACTTAGATTTATGCCCTGTGTGCTTTTAAGGGTACATGAAGTACTGTATGCTGCGTGTCACTTTACCAGATACTGTCAGTTCCTCTTTGCTTGAGGCAACCAAATGAATTCCATGCCTGTTAGTTCAGTCTCACAGTGCCAAAAGCGCTGGTTTTCTCTGTTTTACACATTGACATGTAAACATGTGCTTGATAATTTGAGTTGACTAATAAACACAAGAGTGTGAGAACAGACAATGCTGTGTCAGACCAAAGGTTCACTGACACAGTATTCTGTTTCTCATAGTAGCCCACAAGGGATGCCTAAGGAAAGGTAGAAGAACAGGGCAGAGTTGCAGCTGTGGTTCCCCTCCCCAGAATGTTCTCCCACCTTCAAGAAATCTGTGGCTCAGGAACTTTTTAAATCAGAGGGAATACTTTTACATTGAATAACCCTTAATGGATTTTTTTTTCTGTGAATTTGTCTAGTTCATTTCTAACATGTAAACTTCTAGCAGCCACTGCAATCCTGCTCCAAGGACTTCAACATCTTAACTATGCTTTGTTTGAAAATAACTTATTCTGAACATGACACCTGCTAATTTCATCTGATGCTCCCAGGTCTTCTCCTAGAAGAGAGGTCCCTGTGTACCCTTTCCATTCTACTCAAGATTCTATACACCTCTATCATACTGCTCCTCATTTTTCTCTTTTATAGCCTTGAGTGTCTTAGTTGGTTAGTCATTCCTTCTACAGAGCAGTTCCCTACCTTTGATTATTCTTGTCATCTTTCTCTAAACCTTTTCTAATTTTACTACAACTTTTTCAAGATGGAAAAGATGGACCAGATCTGCATACTGTATTCAAGATCAAGGCACACTGTTTAGTTTTCTATTTCTTTTCTAAGAGCATACTTCCCAGACGTTTTTCCAGAGTTGTATTTCTGTCCTTTAGTCACATTTTACATTGATTGTTCATACTCTGAGGTGCACCATGGTTCTCCCACAGAGGCTGTCATGACTTGTGTAACCTCCCCTCTTAAGTATTCCTGAATACTCATTTGCATTGATATAAGAAAATAATATTACCACTCCTTTGTCTTAGCTGTCAGACTTAATGTAGGAAATAGAAGACACTATGAAAGCCTAAACAGGGGTTTCTATTGCTGTCTTAGATGCCCTAAGGTATGTGAGGCACCTACCTGGCAAATATGGTACAGCAGATAAGGGAGACTTGTACCCTTCTGGAGTGACAGCTTGAGGCCATAAAGAATACCCTGTGGTATCTAAAATGATACTAGATACCTTCATTTAGGCATTGAATTTCTGCCTAGATGGTGGTATGTAAAACAGTCTAACTCTTATATGTCAATCAAGAGAGCTCTGAGTTCCGAATTAGCCATATTTCTTCGTGAAAGCAACACAACAATAGCTGCAGTTTTGAATAATTATGTCATGCCAATCTCTTTTTTTAACATTAGCATATAAATACAGATTGAATATTTAAAAATAATGTTTCTTTTGATTCTCATTTAGGATGCTGGGGAAATGGTTCGATCCTTTGTTGGTGGCTTGGAGCTGATAGTCAATTTGCTAAAATCAAAGAATAAGGAAGTTTTAGCAAGTGTATGTGCAGCCATTACAAATATAGCTAAAGATGAAGAAAATCTAGCTGTTATAACAGATCATGGAGTCGTCCCTCTGTTGTCCAAACTAGCAAACACAGTAAGTAACTTCTAAACATATTCTGAGTTTCTTATGTCACACTGCATTATACCCAACCAAAAGGTTATGACAAGAGCAGTAGATTTTGCAGCAACTACAAGAAAGAGCTGTAGAATCCTTCCTCTATGAGATGTATACTGGACATTAAAACACTCTGTGGCTGGTACTAAAATTGCTTTGGAAGATGGGCTTCATTTTAATAGTCACTGTTGTTGAATATTGCTTTTGAGAGATGCAGCTGCCATGTAAAAAAAGCACAAAGGGTCAAGAGAGCAATAAATCTGAACCATGCAGCGAATCTCAATGATGGTGCTATATGTTACATTTTAATGCTAATCTTACCTAATTTCCAGTCAGTCTAAAAGCACCTTTGAAATAATATAAGCATTTCCTACAAAGAGAATAATAAGGGACTACTAGCTCCATGCCTTACAGCTCTCTCCAGTTTTTAATTGTACTACATTTAAATTGGGATGCCTTAAAGATGTTTGAGAATACAATTCTGCTTTCCTATGAAATTTTTATTGTATTATGTTGTCTTTAATTTATTATGTTTTTACCTTCTTCAGAAGAATGACAAATTAAGACGTCACTTAGCAGAGGCCATTTCCCACTGTTGCATGTGGGGGAGCAATAGAGTTACCTTTGGAGAAACCAAGGCTATAGCTCCTTTAGTACGTTACTTGAAGTCAAATGATCCATCAGTTCATAGAGCTACAGCTCAGGCTTTATATCAACTTTCAGAGGATGCAAACAACTGTATCACCATGCATGAAAATGGAGTGGTGAAGGTGAGGTGGAAAGTTTTTCTTATTTGGAATTCAAATTATTGAAGGGGTTTGGCATGGTCAAAAGAAAAGATCTTTCATTTTAAGTAGTTCTTGAATACTGCTGTGTACCTCAAATTTTCTGAACTTTATCCTAAAAATGTTTGGTTAAGTAGTGAATTAGGAAACAGTATTTCAGTGCTAAAGATACTACAGCTAGGTGGTTGTTAGGAATGGAAATATGATGTGGACATTCACCTCTAGAGTACTTGACTTGACTCTGACCTAGGCTGGTAGTGATGTCACATCAGCATTTTGTCATTCTCAAGTGACTTTTGCAAAGTTGGGTTATCTTGATAGATAGTTGATTAGTATGGCAGAAAGTCACCTAGGAACGGAGTGTAACTGGATTTGGGGACAAATTAAGATAGAATAATACAAAGGCTTAGTTTACCTGGAGCTGTTTCAGTGAATTCTGCATTTACTTATAAAAACTCATATTTTAGAAGTTAAGTATGAGCACATTCTGCAAAGACCTTACTCTAGAAAGAATTTTTCTCTCAAAAAGATTTTTCTAGCAAAGTTTTATCTCACTAGTTGAAGCCAGTAGAGTCATTCCTTTGGCACAGAAGAGATAAGGATTATGGCCTTAGAGATGGAGATTGTAGGAGCTCTCAATTTTCATAAATTTCTTGAAATATTCACTGTTTACAGACTTTTCGTTTTACTTCAGGTAAATGTGTTGAAAGTAAGAGTTGACTTATGATGTAGTGTTACTACTAATGTTGAATGTACGCCTGCACTAATGATTGTGCACTTTATTGTGAGCAGTTTCAATTCCAGCACAGTCTAATGGTCCTGCATTATCATACATATACCTGTAGCTGGCTATATCTGTAGTTGGGTTAAAAAGATCCACTGGTCAAAAATGTTTAAAGACTCGGTTTAAATGCCAGTACTTGAACTGACTCAGATCTAAGGTGCCCTTTCAGTGCTGGAGAGTAACATCTTCCCATCACAGTTGCATTATACTGGCCACACAGCACAGGGGAATACATACTGTACTACAGCTCAATTTGAAACTGGTGTCTGATGACCTTTTAATGTTGCTTATCTTTCCGTTCAACTGACACAACCCGTTTTCTGCCCTCCTGTCATCTGTTGTTTTCATTCATTTTATTATGCAGGTTTTAGTACACTGAACGTACTGTATAAAGCCAATTCTGATGATACACTTTTGTAATAATTCCATCTCGGTCTAGGTTCATCATTATTTTTCAGTCCTCATTAAAATATTTAGACTCATTAAAAACATTTATTTGCACTTGCAGATAAATAGGGGTGTACAGAAAAATATCACAGGTGTTTAATTTTTTTATTATTCACAGTATTCTGGAATGACTATAATATGTTAAGGGAGAGAAAAGAGAACTGATAAAAGGAAGAGCGAAACTACAAAATAAAGGAACTTGGGTTATGTTTGTTGCATCTAAACTTTTTGTTCAGGGTGCACTTCTCTTCTTGTGTACAAGAAACTTGTATTTTTGTAATGCAGTTAGACAAGTGTTTGAATGTGGGTTTGTATGTGGGTCCATCACAGAACTGAAGTGGAAGCGCTTCTCATCTCATAACTGATGGATGGCCTGAATATATGAGAGGATATATGACCAATTCTCATCACATGTGCCAGCACACACATGTACTTGTATCATATAAACATTAGTAATATGACAGGTAGCAGCTGCATTTGGTCCATGTTGAGACTAACAGCCAGGGTAGCAGTTCTGCTGAAAAGGACCTGGAGAGTGGATTCAGCAAGTTGAACATGAGCCAATAGGGTGCCCTGGGAGTGATGAAGGCTAACAGGATCCTGGGCTGTTTAGCGGGAGCATAGCCAGTAGGTCGGGGGTGGTGACTTAGCACTTACTAAATCACGTCAGGAGTACTATGTTCAGTTTAGGGTCCAAGTCCATCCACAAAGATGGTTGGGGACTGAAGCACATGACTTGTGAGGGAACTGAGCTTGTCTAGCTTTGAGAAAGAAGGCCTCTGGGCAGCGGTGCCTAATAGCAGCCTGGCAGTATCTAAGAGAAATTTATTGAGGTGCCAAAGGCAGACTCTTTACTGAAGTGCTTGGTGGGAGGACAAGAGACAATGGTCATAAATTGAATCTGATGGGTTCCATCTGGATATAAGGAAAAAAATTCTACCGTGAGGGTAATGAAGCACTGGAACAGCTCCCCAGAGAGGCTGTGGAATCTCCATCCAAGGGAATTTAGACCTGACTTGACAAAGCCATCAGCAACCTGGTCTGAATTCAGTGTTGACCCTGCTTTGACTAGGAGGTTCGATTAGATGACCTCCTGAGATACCTTCCAACCCAAATGATTCTGTGATTCAGATCATCTGATTTCTATCAGATGAAAAATAGTGAAAATAATAGGAAATATGGAAAATAATGATTGATCTTTGCAAGCCACTTCTTCGCTATCTTTTGATAATTAAGCAGTATTCTCCAGCTTCTCAATAGACTTTATTGAGCCATACCCATGGCATATTCAATTAGGGAAAACAGCCATAGTTGTGATAATAAGCTTTCCACATTCAGTATCCAGAAACAGTCACCCTGTCTAATGTGGCAGAAACCGTCTTCACTATACTTAGTCAGATGGGTATCTCAAAAGAAATACTGTCAGAGGAACAGATTTAATCACTCTGTTGTTTAGATACTTAGGGAGATGTGTAGGTTAAAGTGGCTGAATTCCACTCTGTATCATTCAGAAATGAAATATTCATTCCATGAACAGAAAATTCACTTGAATTTTAGGTCAGGGCTACAAATGTATGTGACTAAGAGATACAGTACTATCCCACATACCTTGAAGTATTTCAAAATTCCATGAGGTTTGACTAATCCTTCTCTGTAGTTCACAAGATCTCAGTTTTTTTGGGGGAAGCAGTCTGGTTGCAAACAAAACTGGTTCTGTAATGAATCTTTAAAATGCAGCCAAACCTGATCAAGAATTAAGAGGTTAGAGAGAGTTACAATAAAAACACCTGTGACTGCACATTGCCATGAAGGACCTGGAATAATTCTTCATACCTGCTAAGTATCACAATATGCAGAAGTCTTGAGAAGGATTTTTGGAAGTGATTCAGAATATCAGTGAAATCACCTCTAACCTTAAAAGGCTGCACTGTTGATTCATGCCATAAACTGTTCAGTTTGGTAGACTGGAATCTCTTCATAGCCGGGAGGTGACTGTGAACCAAATACATAGCCAGGAAAAGAAACATTATGATTCCTTACTGCTCATTTTTCTTACTGGCAGTAAAAAATGAAATATCGTCAGAAGACACTAATTTACCTGAAGGAGTAGTTCTTGCTAGTCCCCCAAAAAGCAGAAATAATGGAAGTTTGGCGGAGTGTGTTTTCAGATAAACTAAATCAAACTGGTCAGATAGTTGATGTCATCCATACAAAGACTGTCAGCCAATGCAGAGTCAAATGTACTGAATAAGTGTAAATCTTTATGAAGAGATCTGTCCAGCTCTTCAAGTAAACTGCCTTCTGTTCAGTGTCCTACTGAAGTCAGTGTGTATAGTGTAGAATCTGAAGTCCTAGGGTCACCCAGCAAATGTGTAACAATGAGGTGTAACAACTTAAAATTGTAAATTGAGCCTTGAAAACAAGTTTGATACTTTTAAAATTAGAAGATACTAATTATTTTAAGAAATCCGTCCAGATGAAGAAGTTCTTTAAACATTTCCCATAATTAGTGCTGAGCTACAAAAAATTAGGTAAGCTACATAGAATTACCTGCACATATTTCATTTTTCTGTGTGTTTGTTTTCAATTAAATTCAAGTGAACATTCATGGAAGTACTTAATTACAAATGCTGCAGGCATTTAATCGGGATAACATGAAAGTAATTATATCTAAACAAACAAAAACATTCTTCACAAGTATTTCCGTATTTTTAACTATCCAGCTATTTTAAAATAGCATTTTTTCTAACATAATAAGTATAAATGGAGCTGTTATCAAAGCTTTATTCCTTTAAGTCTTTAAGAAATCCTTAAGAAAAAGGCAAATTGATAAAATGGGTAAGTGTAAACAGTAGGACCCTGGAGCAGTTCCCAGCTCTCATGTCCAAGTGCATAGCTGGCCACATACTGATTGCACATTAGGACTAAACCTGGATGCATACATTCTGTTCTGTGTCAAAAAAAAATGCAGGTGCAGAACTGGAACCACAATATGAATGAACAGTTGGGAATCAGGACTGCAGAGCATGTTGCAAAATGCATTTGCCTTTCAACTAGGATATAGCCAGAGAGAATCCAATACCGGTGTATGTGTTGAAGTTGACATGGCTCAGAGATCCATGTTAATAAACTGTGAAAAACCTGTTCTCCCTAGGCCATAAAGGGACAAAAGTGCAGTAAGAGGTCATCAGAGCTAGCTCTCTTGAGCTATCTTGAGCTTTCTTACCTGTCTAGCTTTGGTAGCACGGAGCTCAGTGTCAGATGATTTGCCTTATTCTAGTACGATGACTGCAGTATAAGGCATATCCATTTTTTATAAAGTGTGTAGTTTGGTTTTGCCCCTATTTTTCAGGGAATGGAATTCTCCCACTCCCAAGAGGACAATACCTATGGTCATCTAGAGTTTCTAACCCTAATTAAAGCCTGGTTTAATTAGCAATTATCCTGCTGTGATGTTTCCAACCACTTTCTAATGCTTATATGTTGTGTTATACCTAGAATGGCAAAGCAGCAAAGCAAAGTGAAGCGACAAATAGGCCTTTTTGGAGGATATATCAGACCAGGGAGACATAGTGGTTCCTATCCAGTGAGGATGCCCATATAATAAGTGAAGCGTGGTGGGCAGTCTGAGAAAATATGTTCTGTTGGACCTATGATAGTTTCTCCAGATGTGCTAGTCCAAGTGCTTTTATTCTGTGTGGCAAGAGCTGACCAGATCATGAAGCAAATCAACACGCGCACCATGACAGCTCAG